AGGTAAAGCACAAAAATATATTTTGAACATATTACAACTACAGGAAAAGGTAAGTAGATAATTTAAACGTATTACAACTCAAAAGTGATAAGCTAAACACTTACAGGGGCAACATGCATGAAACATGTCATCCATGTTGTTATATATTTACATACATACATACATATATATATATATATATATTAGTCTGAACAAAAATTGGGTTTAGAGTCTCTTACTATGCCCTACTAGATTTCCTAAAACATCTTACAATTAATGGTGGATTATAAAAATTAAAATTATATACCATTTCTGTCCACCAGACCAAGCAGCTCATCATGACCAGCAAGGTCACCAGGTAGGTTTCACATTAGCACCTACAGTGCCAATACCATATCCTCCACCTCCAATGTTAAGCAATTAAGAACTTTTAATCAACAACTTATCAATATCAATAAAATGATAATGAAGCATAATTAAAGAATTAATAGATAGACTGTGTCATATTGTACTAAATTGTGCGACTACTAGGGAGCATACACTAACTGATACAACTTAATCATGTTATATGAGGTTTACCAAACTATCGAATATGCAAATCTTCAAAAAAAAAAAAAAACCCCAAGTTTGTAAATGAAAATAAGAATAGCACTTATCCCTCTCATTTTCATTATTGAAATAAAAGATCAATTGCCTACACCAAGTTGCCTCAACCTCAAATCCTTCTTTCTGACAACTTAGTAATCTTACACCATTATGTAACCACAATAATAAGCAAGGAGCTTTCAATATCCATCACCAGTGAGATCTAAGAATAATACACCAAACCTCATTTTTCAATCAAATGTACATTAATGAGTACTGTTCTGAAAAACTCAGAAGCACAGAAGTTTCATTCTTTGAGAGAGAAAAGATACAGTTTCAGGCTTGTGCATTCAAGGAGTCAAGTTATATTAGGGTAGAAAGCTCAAGCTCCACTTGAATAGTTAGTAAGGCTTCCATTAACAGTAGGCTAACTCGTTCTACTTCCATTTTCCCTGGAAGCACCCGTAGTATACGTGATCATTTCTGCCCCTGCCCTTCCCTAGTTATTCTGTTATGTACATGTCTTTTATGTTTGTGTTTTCACAATCAAGAGTACTGGTTTTCAAAGAAGTAAAGAAAAGCTTCATACAGGCTAGAAGGTATTCAACTCTTCAAGAAACTTGAACACGTGCAAGGATCCTAGACAATTTCAGCATGGAAAGCATGATCAATTGAAATGAGAAAGATCAGTATGCAGTTTAAAATTTCCAGGCAGAAAATCAATCCTAGGACTTAATTGTATTAGTAACCATCAGTTTCAACATGGACAAATTATCAACCATAAAGAAACTTTTTCAATGATCAGCTAAATGCAGTTGAAATCTGCCTGCAAAACATCATTTCCATCACTTTTCCTGAAGTACCTGAGGGTGATTCCTTCCAGAAAACCATACATGAGTAAGTTGGCATGGTAGGAAAAGTAATCTGAAGCTCTATTGTTATCTTCTGGAAGCATAAGTTGTCACATCAACTAGAATACCCAAGTTGTACTCTGCCGCAAACTGACCAAAACCTTTGAATGTAGAGGAGGGAGTCAATACCTCCTCCACAAAACCTACATACACCTGGATGGATCCAATAGGTAGCTGATTATAACCAAACATGCTAAGACAAAAGAACAAAGAGAAAAAATAAACCTGAATATCAATCACGATAAAATTAATCATATCAATAAAAATACAGATTTTTAAATTGTCAGCAGAAAGTTGAACAAGGCATTGAAGAATAATATCCATAAGCTACGGAATACAATAAGCCAAGCATTTGGAGAAAAGCATACATTCTGAAACCATCAGGAGAAACAAATGGTCAAATAGAATATCCAAACTAATGATTATATGCATTGATACATAATACAAGCAAAAAGTTTCCTGCCAAAAGTTCTTCTAGCATAAGCAATACCATTTCACCAAGGCAAAACAACAGCAACTGGCTATTGGCATTGTCACTATGCAATGTTTACAAAATAAAAGTACGAAGATTCATGATGTTCAACAAAACTCTCCATCCAATATGTGACACTCCATACAGAATCAATAGCAGCTTGCCAAAGAAATGAAGTTGTCCTCCATCAAAGGCCTGCTATTGCAAAAAACAAAGTTACACAGGAGCAACTAACCTCTAGTCCGCACCCATTTCCTTTCGCTTCAACTCTAATGCCATACGCTCATTCTCAAGCTTCATCCTCTCATTTTCCATTCTCAGTTTTTCCAGTTCTTGGTCTCGTTTCTTACTAAACCTCTGCCACTTGAAACGCTGTTTCTCCAGTTCCAACATCTCAACTTGAATTTGCAGTTTCTGTTCTTCCAACTGTAGTGAACGAGATTCAATCCACTGTTTCTGTAACCAAGCTGCTTTTGAACTTTCAGGTAAACCTTGAGTTACATCTGCTTGTGTAATTTTTAGATAAGGATAAGAAATTTTATTGCAATCCTGAGAATTTATAGAATTCTGGAAACAGGCATCTTCATGGCCTTGGCCTTGGCCTTGTCTCAACCTCTTTGCAGAGGCCCCTAACACTCCATAGATTCCCCTGTTATCCCCATGTGAATTATGATTCTCCTCAAATTCATCATGTTCATCAGTCTCTATGTCATGCTCATCTTCATCAAGATCATCGTTTTGACGCCTCCTTGCATCATCATTATCATGATCATCTCTACTTCTCAGAGCCAGTTGTAGAGAACGCTGCAATGCAGGATCATGGGGAAGATGCAATCTATTCCCATTATGGTAAGAACACATCTCTTCATAAAACAGATGCTTTGAACTCAAAATTTTCCTAACATCATCCTTTTCTTTCTCTGTCAAGTAATCTATCACATCCAGAATTGCAGGGTTCTCAACAACCTCACAGGAAGTTCCCCTACCAAGCATATCATTAAGTTTCTTGTACCTTTTATTTAGGTCATTGAACTTATCCTCACACTGCTGAGGCGAAACATGATAATCCCTCTCAGCCATGACCTTGGACACAGATTTCCACTTACCCTTTTTCTGTAAAACTGCAAATTTCCTTCTTGCCCCACCACATTCCACAGCTGTGTCCTCCCCAATATAAGACACAGCGGTAATTAGAAGCCTCACCATCTTATCAGTCCACTTTACACGCTGCCATGGGGATCCTTTCTTCCCTCTATGTGCCTCAGTAAGGCCATCAGCACCCTCTTCAGTAAAGTCTGGCTCATCATCATCACTGACTGAAAATTTCCCTCTTTCACCCTTGTTATAATCTGTCATTGAAATTGTCTGATCACAGTTTTGCATGGTCCCCATCGTGAGAGGAAAACCCTCATGAATTGAAGCATGCACAGAAGATCCTTGTCGGGGGTTGGTGTGGTGATGTTGGTGAATATTATGTGGGTGTTGTGTAGGATGATGAACTCTTGCTGATCCTTGCAAGTCAAGGCCCCCAAAAGAGCCTCCAGCTGGAAGCATACCTCCTTGAGAAATATTTCCTTCCATTCTTTATTTTATACAAGCAACTGTTATCAGACAATTAACTAATTTCCTTCAAAACCTAGTCTACCCTTATCGCTAACTCTTTAGAAATCATCCTGGATTCAAGCAAAATCAGAAAACAAATCAATCAGGCACGACCATCTCCTGATTTCTTTCTATGGCACAACCCCAACAGTGAAATAACCAGCAACCAATATACACAGCATATCAAGCCAAACATGCACCCATTTCCAGATTTCAGCAGTAACACACAAATCTCAGGAAATCAATTCAACTAGTAAAAAAATCTCAGCTCCAAAATCACCAGAAAGTCAGAAAAAGGCTACCAGAATTCCAAAGAGAAAACACCCATCAACAAAAAGATAAAGCTTACTTATCAGCACAAAAATCTCCAAATACCCACAAAGCCAGAAGCGAAAACGAGCCGCCCACTTGGCCACTCCCAATGATCAAGCCAGGAATGCAGCTTTGAAGATCACGAAAATCATTTTTCTATGTCAATCTAAGTCAGAAACTCGAAGGACGAAACATATACGTTCTGCGGAGGATTTTATATTGAGGGTTTTGTGTAAATTATAAATGCAGCTCTACGCAGAATGATTAACAAAAAAAAAAAAAAAATTCCCTCTAAGTTAGCCCCGGAGATTAGTTTTCTTTTCAATTTCTAACTACAACTTATTTTTGGGCTTTTAAGGTCCATTAAGTTAGGTTATGCCCCTATAATGAAATGTGTGTTTGAAAGTTGAGCATGTGTGTTTAAACATAAAATTTGTATTTTATACGTTTTAATAATAGCATGTGAAAATTTAATATATAGGTTTTAATACAAAAATTACATTCAATTTAAAATTAATTGATAATAAATAAAGTAATTCTTTTTATATTAAATTTTTCATGTTTCTTTATTATATTTTTAATGTAGAAATTTCCATTCAACAATGTGCCTTACTTATTAATCAACTTTTGCACTTGCAACAATAGCAATGTTGGAGTGCACCTTCTCTCTTTGTGGTTCTTGTACAATTTTAGTTTTCACATTGTATGATTCCCTTTTCTTCAAAATTTTCCTAATTTCAAAAAAAAAAAAATGCTCTCTTATCCTCCATGAAATTTGACAATGATAGATTTGAGAAGGAAAGAACATGTGGTTGCAAATATATAAAAATTTTGTGGGTTTTTCTAACCCCTTATAACTTAATTTTCATACCAATAAAAAAGTAAATTAAATAAGATATTAGTAGAAATATTTAAAATTTTAATTCTTTATTAATTTTTAAACAAAATAAATAAGCAAATTAAGTAACACATTAACAGTGATATCTCAATTATTAGGCAAGACATTAACAAAGATATCACAATCAACTTAATAACTTTTCCCGTTATCTCAAGTTTCAAATTCAACATAATATATAATACAAGGGCTTACTTAATACAAAAAGTAAATTTGAAAGTGAATTCGAGAAAAGGAACAAAGTTCATGAGCTAACTTAGGAGTTCTCTTTTTTTGAAAAGGAAATGGAAATATAATATTATTAAAAGAAAAGGGTGATTTAAGATTCAATGTATGGAGAGGATCCGGTGGGTCCATTAGGCATATTTTATGTCGCAGCCCTACAATTAGGCGAGGGAGGCTACGCCAATGCCACCAAAGACTTTGTTGCAGAAATGTTATGCCAGCAACTATTGTTGGTACCATTCTTTACCTAAATGAGTATTCTTAACAATCAATTTTATATTTATTTATTTATTTTTATTTTTTTGAACATTTTGACATGGGCCGACTCGAACCGTTGCCCTGAGAGAGGGGGATATAAACCTTACAAACGTGGCAAGAGCCACTTAGTCCGAAGGACTAGGTTCAATCAATTTTATATTTTGTCGACCAAAAGAATGTAATTTTTATTATTTTTTTAATAATATAGTAAGTTGGATATTACAAGTTGATACTATTTTATTTTATGATTTACGAAATGAAAGGGTTTTTATATTATTTTATGTTACGTAATAAAAAATAATAATATTTATTAATAACTTAATTTTGTTATAGTTTTTCTTTTTAACGAAGTAGAAGATTTTAAATATAAATTGTAAATATGTAGATATAGTAAATAATAAAATAAAAGAAAATTATATTTTATTGTGTAATTTA